ATGTCCTCGTCGAAGCCTTTACGAATGCTACATCTCCTCGCCTTTCCTGAATCTTCAATCTTCTACTCTAGTTGCTATGTAACTCTTGTCTCCCAACTATTCTCCGTCGCTGTTATTGAATTGTCGAACTTTGATCCGCTATGCTGCTTTAACTCGCTAATGACTCTAGTGTGGGGTTAGTCGAGTTGTGTTGATTCTTAGTTCATATGGATCCTTCAGATGAAGGAAAAAACTTTCCTTGTTATATGTCAATCTCTCAAATGTCTCACACTACTTGAACTTGGTGGATGCCTACTGGAGCTTCAGCGAGCATTACTTTGCAGACTTTGAAGTTTTGAGATCTTTTCTCCACAAAATTTGTCCATGGATTCCTCTTCTACTTAGTTGTCGCCTCCAAATAGGTTCGCATCACTTCCGCTTTCGATTGACATTCTATTGGGAAATGAAGTGAACGATCTACTCTCGGAAGCACCGATCACCATTGGTGAGGATTTGACAACTGTTGTCTTTCACTTTCTTTGAAGGACCTTTGAACATGCACAAAGCTTCTCTACTAGATAAATAAGAGAACTGGGGTACTCGGTTTTACCCATTCTCTTAAGAGTTGAGAAGACAAAATGTTACTTAACTTTGCTCGCCTACTCGAGAGTTGTACTCTATACATTGAGCTAGTTACTAGCTTTCACCTACTCTTTGTTCACACTTCCAAAGCACCCAAAGTGTTTGCACTCATTGCGTTGAGTTAGCTACTGCGATTCACCTTCTTATTGTCATCGAACTTCTGGGATGCATGAAGTTTTGCCTGAAAAGAGTAAAATTTTGTCCCGACTTAGAGTAAACTCCAATAGTTTTTAGTCACCTCTGGGATTGTACCATCTTCTCCATCATTTCTGTTGCCTATTCCACTAAGCAAAAAAGTTACAACACCGTATATTGTCTACTTCATTCTTGGTCGAGCACTCTTGCATTAATCCAAAGTCCCCCACTTTTGACTATTTTAATGAGAAGTCTATTGACACCGGTCTTACGAAGTTCCCTTGCCTCTACCCTTTAGCCTTATTTCAGAACTTCGAGTTTGCCTTTGCATTCTCCACTTCTCGGCCCCTTTCATGACCAAGCACTCTCCCTCCATAAGAGCAAGGGATTGATGACATCATGATAGTCTCACTTCTATAATACCATGACGTTGCCATGCTCATGGCCCTACTAACCATCGCCTCATATCTATGTCCCTTTCCGATCAATAGATCCACCTATGTAGCACTACGACGCTTTTTTGAGTCTACCCTCATTCTAGCCGAGACTTGGTTTTGGGTACCTAAGTCTCTCTGGATTTATCGTTACTTCCTCGCCCCTTTTGATCACCTACTTCAACACATTTGTATTCTTCGAGCAATTACTCTTGGTTGATGAAAAGACAGACTGCAACTCTCATGCATGGTCTCTGCCATCATGTTATAGGGTTCACGTCGATTCTGTACTCCATTGCTTCCTTGGTAGCAACGTTCACTTACTCGATATTGTCCTATAACTTATCGAGCTCTCTTAAGCGAATATGAGCTCTAGAGTAATCTAACTCTCCAACCACTTTGATCATACCTCTATATGATTAAGTCTCCCCCATGGGACTCACTATTACTTGCACTCAAAATTCTTCCTTGGTGGTACATAGCCCTCATATACTAATGATTAAGGCCTTCATCCGATGCAAACTTTGATGCACACATGGAAGACTTGCCTTTGTGGTACCATGACATTCACTCATTGAATCCATAACCCTTTTTGTCATCGTGTTGTTCACAGAAGTGGAGCTCCCAGTAGCTCCCGTTCATACCTTTGTATGATCTAGTACCTCGTGGGACTTCTCTCGTGTGTGTCGCATTGCCTCGAATTGTTTCACCATAATTCGCTTCACCATGTCGTCTCCTGGTGACATCTATATTGCATTCTAATCTTTGTGGGACGAACTTAGACTGCGATATCTCCATGTGTGGCTTTTGCTAGCATATCATAGGGTCTCCGTCATATCCGATTGTGTTCTCTCCTTTGACAATTGACCTTCGTCTACTTGTTCTCGAGTCACACCCGGACGAAGCATAACTCTAGGACAATCTGTCACCTAGCAACTCCTAAAATCTACCGACTTCATTGAAATTGGTGCGTCATTATTTGGATCCTGGACCTCTGTCCCCAAGCACAATCTCTACTACGTATTACTTGATTCGGGGCAATTCAAATGGTAGCACTATAGCATATTCTTCAAGAGTATTGGTCTTCGTATTCTCTTGCCTCATGTCAAGGCATTCTGACCCCAACTTCGCCTCTACCAGTTGAGTCATCTTAATTCCTCCATTAAATGTTTCGACGAGATAAGATGCATGTGCCTCGAAACTCCTTTCAACTTTAGCACCATGTAGGTTAAATCCGCTCCATCAGAATAAGGGACCCATAGAACGACATGATCCTACCTCTACAAGAGATCATATCCTTGACCTCTGTCCAAGGAAAGCTTAGTGCCTCTGCTTTATGTTTCGTCTTCTATATTGGCTCCCTTCATGCGGCTTAGGTACTTCACCAAGTTCCACTCAAGTTGCTTCGCTCCTCGATTTGCATTGAGTTGACGGTGGCCCTCGCACCCAACATTCTACGGGTTAGCCCTCCATTGAGTCTGATCTCCACATCGGCTTCAAGTGTGCCTTTGTTTGGTGTTGCCTTAGGTCACTTCCTCACTTGATCTTGTAATACATCCACAAATGCATTACCTCATGTGAGAACATGCGACGATTCCTTGTCACTCGCTCGGTCTGTTGAGCTTTGTATAGTTATTGTCTTGAGGTACCCCTCCTCAACATATGTGGTCCGTTGCACATGATTCTCCTTCTGGAGAACCGAGACTCATCCCTCCTAGATATTTGTCTCGTTAGAGCAACATTTCTCTTTGCATCATTCCCTCTAGAAGTTTCAGAGACCATTATCCCCTTAGACTACTCCGTCTTGTTGAATGGACCGTGCACAATTCCACTCTCGTAAACATACTTGCTAGATTATGACTCTTCGTCAATACAATCCCCCTACACCCCTCAAGGCCTAGCAACATACTGAACTTGCTGCACACTTCAACCTCCTATGGACATATCATTCCCATGCAGAATATAAAGTTTTAATGCTCAATGGCATCGAGTTTCGATCGCTTTGGGATGGCCACGGATAGTCCATCATCCATATACAAGCCTTTGCATGAGTATCAAATTCTTCGAGTTAGCAATTTTCTTCACTTCTGTAAGCTTTACACAACTCTTTTGGTTGCTAAGCAATCCATCTCACCTTCTACAATATCATCCTTTGCCAAGCACCCCACTTGTCTTAAGTATCGTCAAGTTTGGTTGTGAACATTAAGTCGTAGCTTGAACTCAGCCATCTCAACTTTTGTACGCTACACATTCTTCTTAGCTCGCTTGTCCTTGTGGTGTCTCTTATGCGAAGGGTTGGACATTCCTCTAAATGTCAATCTTAGATGCTCGCTCCTTTAAGCGACTCCTTTCCTTACATCTCGACAACACTCATTTTCCCCAAACGATCACGCATGCTGGCTACTCTCAACGTAGCCCAACTAGGTACCCCATGTTTGCATGCTAAGTGTTTCTAAGCGTGTTTGTCCCGCTTTAATACTATTTGCCAGATACTTAGCTAATTTTTCCTAAGTCATGCGACCCCCTTATATGTCTGTTTATAAAGGGTTAGCCTCCCCGAAATCTCTTATGGTCATTTAAGGATCTATAAAAGAGAAAACGAGTTAGAGAAAACATTTAACTCAAGATCCACAAGTAATCATTTCAGCAAACACTTAATAGACAATGCAAATTACAAACATAGACTTTATAAGCTTTGAACGATCACATGACAAAAGGTCCAAGATGGTCTATTATGGTCAAAAGTCCCTACAAGTGCCCATATGACACTATTGTAGAACAAGACAACAAATCAACCCTAGACACTACCATAAAGGCTCATCCAGCCATGTGCTACCTGGGTAGCTCTTGGGTGCTATCTTGGATGACATTTCACACCACTCTAAGGAGCTAGAAAACTCCCGAAATAACTATTTGGATGATTTGTTTCTGGGCAATTTTGTTTCTACGTGATAGCTACACACAACCTGCCATTACAAGCTTGAAACGACTATAAAAGTGAATCAAATGAGGCTGCTAAGCCTACTACAAACCCTCTACATATTGTGTAAAACACGAATAAAACCAAAAGACATTGACATATACGAGCATTAGATCAAACATCCTAATTATAGCTTTGTCCATAGAATAATAGCTTTGTCCATAGAATAATAGGATGATATTAACCAATTTGATAGTCTATCGTGGAGATCTAGTATAAGATTTGTATTAGCCTTTAAAAAAAAAATTCTAATTTTTTTTCTTCAAAATTTGGTACATATGACACTCAATAGATCAATGCCGACTGGTATGATACCTTTCGAACCCTTGTACACTACCACTATATGAAATTGCGAAGACAAATAAGCATGTTTGAGAAAACATACATTAGCCACATTTACTTTTAAGCCTAATCCAACATATGATTATCACCAAGTTGTAGAAGGCAAACACATTTACATTAGCAATGAATTGTAACACTAAAAGTTATTTGTTATTTTGTTCAGACACTAGAAAATGCACTATGAATGATAAATTTCTGTAGCTATGTGCTATAAATTGCTTAGGTTTGTTCTAATGATCAGAGTAAAATAAACCCAACGTTTGTTTTGTTGTTCATCTAATTGGTTAGTGTGTTTTGTTCAGGACTCCTGCAATCACTCACTCTTGTAATTTTGCAGGGCTGATTTCAGCTGAAAATAATGAATTGAAACATGACAGGTCAAACAAGATGTTTCTGCATGCAGTGTGATGCATGAACATTGTACTGTCTCAAACTCAAGATTGTGTATGCAGATATAGGTTTGATTAAGCTGGCATATTTCACAAGGATAGTCATAAGCGAAGGTCTATAACTTCTTAAGTGATAGTATAACACCAAAGTGATAGCATACATAGCATGAGTTGAATCAAGAATAAATCTTGCACATGCAAGGAAGAAATCTGCTTAAATATGAAAGAAAAGGAAGAAAAAGGAAAAGAGTTTCGGAATGTACTGACCAAAAATATAGCCCTCTCCTTTCACCCTTTCTATTTACGTTCAGAACTAAACAAACACCACCTTCTCATTGTTTGGAAGAGGGTCCTGGAGATAACTTAATCATTGTTATGGAAACCTGGAAGAAGAGAGGTCAAGAACCCGACGACGAACATCTGAATCTCTTTCACCACTCGCCAAAAGTTGTTTCCATGTCCTTCGGGTTCAGGGTGATTCTCATTGGCATCTGGTGGTCCCTGGTTTTCAGCTGGTTGGTTCTGATTCTGATTGTTGACACCATAAATTTCACCTGCAGCCAATATAAAAGACATGTATTTAGAACAAAAAAAGAAAAACATGGCTCCAATTGGACTGTTTCCATTTTTGAAACAGCTTTTCCAGAATTTGTTATAGAAGTACACAAAATAGCAATTGAATAGTTCCTAAGAAAAATTCACTATACTGAGTACAATATCTTGATGCTTCACTGATATCCCCAAAACTTGTCGACATGATGTTATAGCTTGAGATTGAAGTCAAAAGAGCAATAGTAGTCAAAGAACATCAAGGAACATATTCTTGACAATTTTTAAGAGGATACCACGTTGAGGATTATTCTGACCATCATGGCCAACAGGAGGGCCATTCTGTGGTTGCATAGGAGCTTGCTGTCGTGGAGGGGCTCCTGCTTGCTGAAGCCAACGTATAAAAGGAGCAAAGACTCCAGTTTGATATCTGTGCAATTAGGAAGGCATAAAGAAATGAGAAGTCAAGCAATCTACCAGAAAAGCTACTAAGAGATCAGCCAAATTTCTGCTATCACATTTTAAAGCTCGTATAATAACCAAAATAATCTAGATTGTTGGTGGTTAATGGGGCCTCAACATCCAATTTACTTCAAAACTATGGAAAATGAGATCACAAATATAATCCAGGAACTGAAGTGAAAGAATTTGTGCTCACAGGTACACCAATAATGCAAACAAAACAAGGAGAACAAGCTTTTGTGGTGATCCATCCTGACTTAGAAGAAAGACCATAGCCGCCAATTTGATGATCAGACCCAAGTCAAGCTGAAACGCAAAGTGGAATCTCCTTACTACTACTTGTCTCTGAGGGCCATGTTGCTGCCTCACTTCCTGCCCATGCTCATCAGTAGCTCCTCCAGATACTTGCCTCCTGAAAGGTGAACATAATATATAAGAGGACGTATAAGTTGACAGTATTGTTTGTAGCATGCTTTCCTTCTGCTTAGGACATACTGATCCAACGGTAACCTGACAGGGTACATCTGATCTACATTCGAATGGCCCAAAGGTGACCTGATTGATTTCGATCGATTTCTTGTCCTTATGGCTTGAATTAATTGAATGCAACCAGAGTTGGCTGATTTTGTATTTGTGTAGTTGATTTGGTAGCATCAAAATGGTAAAATAGAAGAGAGGAGGAAACGAAGCATTGCAGGATAAAAGGAAAGCAAAAATGGAAACCTATCTAATTCATTTATTATATAAAGATTATAAACTTTTTTTTTTCATGAGAAGACAGACTTATCATCTAGATCAAGGTTTGCCTTATTGATCTGTACCGGTATACTGGCCAACTGTTGATATGGTATGTATCAAGGCATACCGACATACCGTATGTTAGTACGTCTAGCAATATCAATGATATGGTAAAATTACCGAAAATTACTCTAAAAGTTTCTGAAAAATAGAAAAAAAAATTAGATTAAGATTTTTAAGTTGAAAATAAATATAAATTTAGTATAATTTTAACAAAATAATCTAAATTAGGAAAGAATAGTGACAAATATCTTTTTTGAACTTTGCGAAGTAACTTTGTGGTATGTTCCAAACCTTCCTTCTATTAATATTGAATTATTTACAAAGAAATGATTTGATTTGTTAGATTATTTTTTAAACTTGAACTTTAAGATTCAAATGAATCAAGTAATCAATCGATGGATATATCTGATTTTACCATAAAAAAGAATGACGAGACTCTACGGACGATGGATCCAGGTCCTCGATCCAATATATCTATATATCGATTTGATGTTTGTCAGACCCAATCCTAAAAATGATCCCACGACATAGTATCCTGATACACTGTATATTGTTAGTGTATCGATGTGGTGATAGTCATTGTCCGATCATCGTAAACCACGTGTCTGAAGCAACTCCTGAGGCAAGGACAATTGTAGCATATATCGGGGCAGAGCATGGAGAATATTAGAACTTCTACTTTTGTCATTGATCTGTTGCTCTGTATGATAAGATCAATCACTGTACTACTGCTCGAAGAAGTGTGACCACCTATTAATCCACTACTGCTGGCCATAAGATTCTCCACAATATGACGGTTGTGAATACGATGAACTTTGCTTTATGTCTACATCATGTAGGCTCTATCGCATTTGCTCAAAATCATCCACTGTCTTCCCCTTCTATGTATAAACTTGATCAATACCTTATTGAATTCCATGATCTGAATCTTGGGTAGCATGTGTAAAATACTGCTCCTCGATCAATGCACCACCCTCAAATTGTGTGGACGAGACCATCAACTCCCTGATGTCGTCACCATCATCGCTCAAGGCACTATTGTCCACGTCACTACCATGTCTCTAGACCGAGCAGGTCGTTGAATGTGATTGAGAAGGTGTCTCATCGCTTGATTCGATTCTTTCCAACGGTACGACTGATACACCAACGGTACGACTGATACAACTGCCTTCCCCTTTGCCTTTGCACGATGGGCGGACGATTATGGCAGAAGAAAGGGTTTAAAAACTTTTTTCAATGGTTCAAACGGTCAAATTAACCATTTGCAATAAGGCTATCTTAGCGCTTCATCGATAACGGTCGAAATCCGACCATTACTGATCGGTACAGGTCGATAATGGTCGGATTTCAATCATTACCGACCGGTGCAGACCCTGTAACGCCCGATACAGAGTCATGTAATGGGTACCGCTCGATGGAGGGCGGTCCGTGTACCAATCCCTTGTCGGACCGATACATACTACCTATATCGAGTGACACAGCTCGATATGGCGAACCCTGATTTGGATAATGGTTCTCCCATCCCCATCCAACAAACCTCAGGGAAATCATGATCTTAAGATGATCAATGATAAAAGTACAATTATGCAAAGCATCTTATGCATATATAAATATGATAATGAGTCATTCTTTTATGGTAGGTGCTTGCAATTATTGGTGTTCCACATTCACGGTAGTTATTCAGGTAGAAGGATGCCCTTTTTATACTATGTGTTTAAACAACGTGCTAATGCACAATGCAATATGTGACTTCATAAGGTCACAATTGTATAATAAACTACCAAAACTAAGGATAGTTCATTCTTCATGTTTTTCTATCTCGTTCTTTAACCATAATATTCAGCAAATAGTTTTACAGAACAATGGATGCTGAATTGTATGACACATTGGCAAATGAGAACTCTAAAGGGAGAAGGTGAACCTGCATAATGTAAACCAAAAACAAGGACACATATCGTTGTAACAAAAATCCCTGTGGAAAACTGCCAAAAATTCAATTACAAGAAAGATCATTAGTTGACACAATAAAAGATAATGTAACAAAAAAATGTTTTCTCAAGCTTATGCATGGCAGTTCAAATGTGCAATATTGACAAACGTGAATGTTTTTTAGAGAAGTTTGGACTTGTTTCCAGAAAATGAAAATATCTATTATGGATGAATACAACAAAGCCACATTTCAATCTCAATATTCAGTTTTAGCCAATTATCTTAACATTGCAGAGGCTTACATCAGGAGAAGCAGCCTATGCATCTAGCAGAAATATGTTCAAGAAGAAATAGAATACACTCATATGCTAGTTATCTTTTGATCAAGTCATTGACCATAAATGCTCTTCGATAACAAAGCTATCATCTAATAATCAATCATACTTTATAAATTTCCAGACTATAAAACATGTAAAAATTCTTTTTCAAGCCTTGTTGTTTTTTTTTTCTCAATAGAAAGAGTAGAAAGAAGACTTCAACAAACATTTTTCAATAGAAAGAGTATTGTGATGAACTAGAATTTTTCTTTTTCTACAGTGACTGCATTTTAGCTTAACGCAAAAAGGAAAAGCCAATCAAATTTAGCATATAGAAAATAAAAGCTTACGTTGGTATATTATACTTCAACGGAATAAGCATAGTAGGAGAAATCCCAGCCATCGGCCCCATGTATGGAAGATACGGAATAGCATAAATTCCTGAACCATGTTCATCGGAATCTGAACTTTGGAAAGGAACCATTCCAGGAAACATGAGTGGCGACATCTGGAAGCCACAAACATCTGGTACCTGAATTGCCAACATATATTAGATCACTAAGCATCAAAAGACATATGATTGGATCCTAAGGGGAGAAAGAAACTTTTAAAAGGATCTAGGTTTATGGTGCAATCAAAAGGTTCTCTCAGAACTGACGTGAAGAATTCCCAAGAATGACGCGAAAGCAAAACTATCATTTCTAAAACTCAACCGATACAAAAAATGCCAACTTAAACATCATCGTTCAAGAATTTCACTCGATTAGCTCATTTTATCTAAAACGGATTCATAAATGTTGTCCTGATCTTCCAGGAGAACTCGCCAATTCATATCCAAAAGGTTCCTTAAGGCTCAAAAGACTCACTTCTATGCACAAATATGACGCAAAACACCCCTCGAAGACATGAAAATAACGTCCAAAAGGGGGAAAAAAAGACTAAATCTTCACAGTGTTGACAATCTCTAGGTTATAACCCAGCCAGAATCAATTCACTCAAAGAAAACACGAGAGTCCCACGAAAATGTAACCGAGAGTGGAATCTTGAAACCGAAACGTGTAATCACAAAAGCGACAGCAAATATAATGAAAGATCGAACTTGATCCACAAATCGGTAGATACAAGCCCCAGCTCTAGGAAACAGATCCAATTCAGCAAAGGAAAACGGATCCAAGCCGACGAATCGAAAGGATCCAAGCGATTACACGAACCTGAGGCGTAAGACCGCCATCCGTGGTTGGCGGTGTCAGATCGGTTTGGGGTTCTTCCGCCATTCGCCGAAGAGGAGAAGAGAACGGAGGCCTGCTTAACCGAGGCAGACCCGAGCGCGAGCCGAGCGGTACGTTGTTCCCGCACGCGGCGGCCGTAGGTCGAGCTGGACACGTCACGCATTAGATCTGGACGGTTCACCGCCCGGAATAAAAACCATCGCAAGGCAAGATTCGTGAATCGGAAACGGAAACGGAAACGGAAACGGAAATGGAAATGGAAATGGAAATGCTTTCCAGGCGGACAGCTGATCTTTATGTGGGACCCACGTAAACCCAACACCCACGTCAACCGTAAAACTTTTAGCAAAACATCAGGGGTGGTGCGATCCGGTAGAGGTTTCATGAGGGTGAGAAAATAAGAACCGCAGAAGACCACTGTGACAGACGCCGTATCCACATGAATAAACATATAAAAGCGAACAAATGAATAAACACGCCATTAGTTTTGAGAAAGATGATGATCCCAAAATAAACAACATCATCCAAGCAAACACAGGAAGTAATTGTGAAACAAAGACGATTTATCCAAGCATCATCATACTCACTCGATCAAATACTACACAGTAAATACTTATGAAACAAAGACGAGATATTCAAGCATCATCATTTCAACAATTTCCTATATAATATCATCATACTCACTAAATCAAATACTTCCTGAACTCATGATATAGTCGATAGATACATGATTCTTCGTACAAACAAACGTTTGACTCTATGGTCAAATTACATGTAAAGCGTGAACTTTCGGTCCACTAAAACCAGCTCTCACCCGTCCTAATTTTCGTGCGTGCAGTCAGCTGTCTTCTTCATCAGATTGTGCCTCGGGAGCCTTCATTTGTTGTGGAGACAGAACCTGTAATGGATTGAAGTGTCACGCCTGAAGAGACAATAGTTACATAGACAATATGTATATCTAATTTCGTTTATCCTTTGGTACTCAAAATTTAATTTGAGAAGTTCTTCATCTACAAAACAACTTTTTCTAGAAAACATTGAAGAGCAGGAACATGGCAGAGATTCTAAAGGAGGCAGAAGCACAAAACAAATAAGCAACCAGAACTTCGTAGGCATATCATTCATTACATGCTCTGTTGTTATCAATTAGATTCCACTTCAGTATCAGAATGGAATCAAATACGATTTTTTTTTAAATGTCTAGATCAAATATCTCCATAGAGTTTGTGCTAGAAATTTCTCAGATATGCATACAAATGACTGTTGGCATTAATGAAAATTAACAACAATATCCTCAATGGTAAAACCATCATCTGTTTCTTACTCTATATCATCCCTAAACATAGTTCTTGCTATTCCAAAACATGGTTTCCCATCCCTATTTAACAAATGTGATTATAAGATTCAGTGACAGGCCTACAACTTGCGTATGATAACTCATCCCACCCCAAGCTAAATATAGTTTTGGTGGGTTCATCCAATTTTACCTGGATCTGGTTTGGGAACCTGCAACCAGTATCCCTAGTCAATATCTGTCATTCTGATCTGGTACATCTTCATCTTACATGTATGTGCAAGCTGTACCCTGACCCTATATTGATATCCTCACTAAATTCACCCCTTCCCCACCCGATTTACAAAATACATTTAACCTTCCCCTTGTGTCTGGCAATTTTCTTCCCAGAGTTGTCTTACCAAGAACAAAGGATAATGCCACACCACAGAATTTATGGCAAGATGTTGACAATGATGCAGAGCAGCAAAATATGAGCCCTGATTGACAAGCAGGCACAGAGATCTTTATGAAGGTTGTACCCATGTTGCTTTTCATGGATAAACCAACGACAACTCCTATCCTTGCAAAATCATCGACATCTGATACCGAGCCTCTTATTTATCTTCACTGTCCATTCAAATTTGTTTTGTCGATCTTTGTCTTCTTCTCACTATCTCAGCTGATGGTATTAGGATAGTTTCAACAGGTTATTCATAATTATTTACAATGACAATCAAGCAATGTCTTCTTCCTTGGAGCCCACAAACTTTGCTGGAAATGGACCATAAAGCTCCAGCACATTAATTGATTTATCTACAGATTAACATCATTTTCATTTACAATTATCAACTAAAAAATGACTGTCTAAAGCATGGTAAATGATTAATATTACATATAAAGCCTGGTCGACCACATTGCAGATTATACCTTTAAAATAAGAACAAGAACATATAATAAACTAGTCTAGGTCCAACATATAAGGGGTGACATGCAATAAATGTTAGCTAAGGGCCGTGATACATCAAACAAATATGGTGCAAGTCCATAAGAACGAACTCTCCAGTCTCCAATCAAAATCAGCTCATTATCTCATAGAAACACCAAATTCATTTGAAATTCCTAACCCTAACAGTGAAAGCTTTGATATGAATCCCGTGTGCCTTCTCTCTATTTTGTTGACATTAAAGGCACCTCTATTACCTAATTTATTTTTCTATCAGGCTTAGCATATGGTCTTATACTGTATCAGTCACCTGAAGATGTCAATGAATTTATAATTTAGAGATGCTATTTTATATCCTAAAACAGAGGAAATACAACCAACAACTGCTTCCCATTGATATAAACTGACCCAACCCGCAAATAGCCCCAGCACCGTACAACCGGTGGTTGCGTCAACATCTGATAATTTTCTCTCACAGATCTAATCTTCCGTTAGCACTATGTTAGAAACAAGATTAGCTTGTAGGCAATATGCATTAGATATTCCGTCTATGCGGGCCACATTTATGGTTTCAAAGAATCAAGTGTTGGGATAAAATAGGAACAAAGATCCAAAACCGAGTGCAGGCAAGGAATATCAAGCTAAAACAATAAAGCCAAAGATCAAAACCAACTGAAATAATAACACTAAAATATACTAAAATATAACGTGATAAAATCCTCATTTGGTTGAGGTAAACAATCTCGGGCAAACTAAAAGATAGGTCTAATATAAGAAAAAATAATGCACATTCTCTCTTGTAATAAGAGAAAAGGAGGAAGAGAAACTCACAAAAGGAAGAAACCTAGGAATTTAGTATAAACTTCTCTGACACCTTCTCTCTTGTAATAAGAGAAATTGAGGAAAAAAAACTAACGAGAAACTCATAAAAGGAAGAAACCTTGGTATTTGGTATAAACTTCTCCGACACCTTCTCTCGTAATAAGAGAAACCGAGGAAGAGAAACTCACAAAAGGGAGAAACAAGGAGGAATCCAAATGAGAAGACTTCCTCCCCTCACTTCTCTCTTTTTTCCTCTCTCGCTCTCTTTCTTCTTCTTTTTTTCTCTCTATTCCTCTCTGATCTCTGCACCGCACTGGATGGATTTTCTATCTGCATCTACGTGACTTTTATAGGCACGAAGAGGGGTTGCAACCTTACGCAACCTCTCTTTTTTTCTGTTTTATCTTACGGCAAATTTCGATAAAGAAACTAAATTTCTAAACTTTAGATTATATCACAGTTGAAGAGCAAAAAGACTCTTTAAACATCTTGTTGCTACCTTCGGCCGATGAGAGCCAACCACGCTCGTTGCTAAACGATATCATCTAATCCGAGGAGAGCGGATGCGAGAGATTGAAATCCTCGAGCCCGGTGACGACCTCCACGAGGACGAAGGGGTGATTCTGGGGCGGGGCCCAGTAGGAGGCGCCGGGGACGAAAGGGAGCCAATCGGGGGCGTAGTGCTGGGCGACCATGCTTTGGATGGCGTCGTCAACGGGGGGCATCAAGCGGGCATCGCGTTCGCCAGAATCGGATCCAGATCCCGAGCTCGATTCCGATCCGGAATCCTCGGCGTCGACCACGGTATCCTCCAGGAACACCGTGCGGCTGGAGCGGTGGCGGAGGGAGAGGCGGAGGGCGGCGGGGAGGAGGCGGCGCGGAGACTGGAATAGGGCTGGGAAAGAAAGAATTCGAGCCATTCGATCGAGTCACAAAAGAGCAGATGGGAGCAAAGAGGGGAGGGGATGCATAGACATAGGGAGGAGGTGGCGGCGCGTGGTGGGCCGTAAGGATTGGAGAAGGAATCGGGGATGGGAAGGGACCCACGGTTACCGTAAAAAAGATCGGCGAGATGTAACAGCGTCATTAAGCATTCATTGCATGCAGACTTTTCGTTTTAGGGCAACGATTTATGTTTTATGCCGATTAAATATCCAAATATTATAATCTATTTTGAAATTTTGATTATCCAATTAGGCAAGGATTTATGTTTTATCAGATAATCCATATGCATTATGTATAAAGAAAATATTTTGATTATATCAAGTATTTTATTATTATTACAATTATTTTTTTTATAGGTGATATTATTATAATAAAGCCTCTGTGATCGGTGTGTTTGTTGTTAGGTTAAGTGGAAGGATGCTGAAAGGTTTCACAGACAAAGAGGAGGATTTGAATGGGATCGGGACACCATCACATGGACCTGAGCTGCTGACGTCGGGATTGGGGCGCCCAAGCTATTGTGTTGGCGTCGAGCACGCACGAGCGTCAACTCGCCTGACTCGGTGAGATCGGGTTTGAGAACTCAACGTGGGCCCCTCGTGCCCAACCGTTCACCTTGACGTCGCCGTTACGGGGACTGACGGTAACGTCGCATTCGTAGGCATCCGCCGTTTTTATATGCGGACAGTTGGAGCGTCTCTCATCTCTTCCTCGAATGAGAGCGCGATCTCGATTTCTAGGGCTAGGGTTCCGAGCGTTGAAGGTTCTCGCTCCGATGGCGTTGCGGGCGTTCTACAACGAGATCAAGGGGATGAAGGTGAGGGAACTGCCCTCGTACCTGAAACCGAAGCTGCTTCGGGGGATCGCTACATCGAGACCAGCTCCATCGAGCCCCTCTACCACGTCTGCTTCGGGGGCATGATCTTATCCTACCTTGTCGCCCTCCCCGAGGAACGCCACCACCGCGAGCACCAGCAGCGGCACGCCGGCGGCGGTCATCACTGATCGCGGTCGCCGCCTCCTCCCGATCCACCCAGGTCGAGCTCAGAACCCTGCACCTTAAATATCAGTTTTTCTTTATTGTTGAAGTTGAAGTAAGAACCAATAATTTAGAGTTTGTTGGTTTTGTTTGCCTATTTAATGTTGTTTCTACGAGGACTATACATTCATCCATCGTACGGATTTAATTTGCCCATGAACAATGGAATATTTTAAGCGATCATTATGCTGTTTTGTGAGATAGGATTTCCACTACTGCTAACAAACCGGGCAAATTACAAATTATCTCGTGTAGTTATAACTTTTTAATATCCCGATCTCTAAACTTACAAAATTTATAATGGAATCCATATAGTTATGAAAGTGAAATATTTAACTTCATTTACCTTAGCGTCATCGGTTTTACCGAAGAAAACATGAAAATGATGGATAAAAAAATAATTTCAATATCCCAATTACATCTTCGATGGTGGCAGATGATGACGTCGTTGAGGGCCACGGGTGACTATTGTGGATGAAGAAAGAGATCAACGATGAGAGATGGAGGTAAAGGGAGAGGAGGAAGAGTACGACGCAGATGTCGATGCTCTGCATCTGTATCGATGTTGCTCGGTAACTGCGTCGGCACAGACGCAGATGCAGATGTAAAACGACGCTGCTCTGCATCTGCATCGGCGTCGACAATGATGTGGGCAAGGGTGGCACCGCTCGACATCTGTGTCGGCGTCGACGACAATGCAAAGAAGGGCGGCACTGCTATGCATCTGCGTTGGTGTCGACAACGATGCGAGGAAGGGCAGCACCGTTATGCATTTGCGTCGATGCTGACGCAGTTGTCGAGCGACTCCGATGCAGATATAGAGCGTCGACATCTACATCGTCTTCTTCCTCCTCTCCCTTTGCGTCACCTCTCGTCATTGCTCTCCCTCTTCACCCACAATAGCCACCCGTGACCCCTAGTGGCGTCGTCGTTCGCCACCATTGAAAACGTAATTGAGATATTGAAATTATCTTTTTGTCTATCGTTTTCGTGCTTTCGTCGGTAAAACCGACTGCACTAGGGTAAATAGAGCTAGATGTTTCACTTTCATAACTATAACGATTCTAATATAAATTTTTGAAGTATAGAGACAGGGATGTTAAAGAAGCCTAACTACAGGAGATAATTTATAATTAGCCCTAAAAAACCCTATTTGACTCTTAAAGAGCTTTTAGACAATATGTGAGAACGTTTATAAGAGAGGAGCAAGAATTGGGAGTGAATTGCTGATTACATAGATTTGACTCGTCATGTCAGGGAGTCAACATCAAATACTTGCAATATAAATTGACCAAGACTTGGAGAAATTATAAACTTGAGTATCATTAGGAAAGTTGCTTGTACTGCACATGCATCCTTGCCCGGGTGTGCAGTCTAAGTTGTAAAATGAATCTGTTGTTGGACTAAAACTGTTGCTTTAAAGCTAGTGATAATAATCTGAAAGCGAATCATTGACTGTTGGAAGCTGCTCATGCAACAATGTTCACTTGATCAGTCATCTTGCCTTTGCTGCTGGACCTAATTTCCCCAACTGTGTTGATTTGCTGGCTTAAGTGAACCTTTAAAGGAGTCTATGATGTTTTCTCTATATGAAGCATTGGTCTGTGTTTGCTTGCTGGTGATGAACTGAGAAAACAAGGGAAGAGAAGCCTTGGTATGAAGCAAACAGGTGCTTTTCAAGAAGTATTACTGACCAAATAAACAGCTATAAAATAAGAAGTGAATTCCCTTGTCGAGTGTCATAAATTTGATGATCAGAGATCGAAAACAACATGATACCCTGGGTAGTTTAGGAGTGGGCATGAAGTTGAATAAAAGTTGGCATGGGAAGGTCAAAATATGATCATGGACACAAGCATTCAAGGTTTTTTTAGTAACTTGACTGGAAATGTTCTTCCCATGTTACAAATTTTTTTTTTTCGCTTTTTTGTGTTGACCCTCTAAGATTGGTTAGAAGAAAAATCTGAGAAATTTTCTAACGGAGGAATAGTGTTGGAATATGGAACATCAGTTGTATGGTTAAGTGAAATATTTCTTATTATTTATGTAGATTAGGCTAATCCTGGGAGCCATGTCTAAGTCTTTTGAAATCAGTTGACTATAAACTGAGGAACTTGAAATTTTGAGCATCACCAAGTTGTTGAATAAATGAACCTGCTCTTAAGCATCGTAAATTAGGTGATTTAAAAATAGTTGTGAAATTGAAAGCAGTTGGCATGAGAAGGCCAAGAAATGGATAATGGATGCAGGCCTCAAAAGGCAATTTAGTAACTTGACTGGAAAATTTTCCATTTTCCATTTTCTGTGTATTCTATTGGAAATCCTTTCATCTTTTGAACCGCAGAGAGATCATTTTATAACAAAAGACATTGATGTAGGAATTGATGAAAAAATTATTGCTTTTATATATATGGAAACTCTGTAAGTTCAAGAGTTGAAACATGAAAAACTAACGTCTGCCTCAAAAGTTGGTAACACAATGCATTCAGAACATGTGTCATATATCATATGTCCTTCCTACCATCTTGTTTGGCCATGCTTGATATGATCTTGTCCTAATATAGTGGGCGAGTCTCCTGTTATGGAGATCTCCCTTCATCTCCCCTAGCATAGGCTTGATTCCTTCTTCGATTTGTTTTCTCATTAAGTTATAGGTTTAATAATTATGATTGACCTATCATCGATGTTATACAAGAAGGCATTGTAGTTAGCAAATTGATGACTTCGGGTTTGGGTAAAAAATAGTTCTCTTCTAATGGTAAATGTGGTAGAATGTTGAACTTTGAAGATGAAGTGAAGGTAGCTTTTTTTATATTCTCTGATGTGCATATTTTTTTATAAATTATAATGCAAGTTATGAACAATGCTCGGCAGTGTTTTAGAGCTGCTTTATTCGTGTCTGTGACATCCTTGTAGCTAGAAATTGGCATCTGGTAAGCTATCTAATGTTTGACCAGGAATAATTAACTTGAGCTTTGATGCAGCCACCTGAGAGCTACATGAGTTCATTTGTGCATGACACATGTAGCTGCCTTCTTATTAAGTATTTGCTGAATTTACGTGATAACTTATGCAAGGTTGTGCTGGTTTGTATATATGCAAGGATAGAGTAGGATTAGCTAAGGTTGTATATATATAATATACCTTAAACATGGGTTGTTTAAGGTCCGGTGGTGTATCAAACCCTGTTGACAAAGGTTGAGGGTTCGAAACCTCAATTGACACAATTTTAAAGATGTTAGCTATCTTAGTTGGTAAAGACATTGATAGTTTATCGTAAGGTCATGTGTTCGAATCCTAACTTCATCACTTATCTTTTGTAAAATAAAAAAAGAAGGTAGGGTTAGCTAGCTGGGCAAATCTTGACCACATGAGTCAGTGATACATCTCTTTTGTTGGAATCCTTCCTCTTTCCCATTCACACCATTATATTTCTTTATTTTCTCATCTACCTCCGGGTATTGAATTATTATGGATATCAAAATAATGAGGATTCATTTTGATGAATTGATCAGGAGGAATTGATGCTGCAGAAGTGAAAAAAAGGTCACTATGAGAATTTTATTGGAAAACTCCATGAATATCTAAACAGATCTGTCATGTTTAGGCTCTAAAATATCAAACAACTTCTTCAGCCAAATAAATGATGCAATATGGGTCTAAGAGAGGGGAAAAAGGAGTAAAATTGAATAATTTCAATGTTCACGAAAGAAAGAAATCCAGGATAAGTGAGAGTTACAACAGAGCTTGTGCTGAAACGATTGACTACGTAAACTGCTGTCCTGAACAACATCATGTTAAACTTGTTAGGCACCTCCTCATGCAATACTCAAATCCTTGTATTCAAAACATTGCAGCAATTGTTCTCCAAGTGGGCATGTAAGGGAAATTATCATCCCAGTAAGGATTGATCTATCATCATGCTGTTGGGATTTGGATGCTGTTATAAACCATTGAGAAGTTGGATTTTTTAGCTTATTTTGATTCCCCATACCCAAGTCAGCATTTTTTTTATTACCTAGTACAAGATGCCAACCACCTGAATGTTTTAACGTAGACGAGTCAGTATATAGACTGCAACGATGATTATGTACAGTCTACAGTCTGCAGGAGGAGATAACAAAGGCAGGGATGAATATTGGAAATGTTTACCCTATTCCTTGTGATTAGTATATTACAAAGGATACTTTCTTGATAAATACTAGTCATCTTAAATGTATGAGATTTCTATCAGACATTATTTTTCGTGTGAATTTTTTCGCATTAATTTTCTGGCATACTGTCAAGCTGCTGTTTTTCAGATTAAGCTCAAAATTAGCATGCATCTAAAAACATAAATGGGTATATCTGAATTTCAATCTGCTTTATGATAGATCTCCATTTGCATCTGCTCACCTTCACACGGGGATCTGCCAATCTGCTTACTGTTCAAAGGATGCCAACTTCATTTTTAAGACCTTATTTTTGCTTTTTCACCTCTATTTTCACTGAATTCTCCATAGCAAGGATGAAAATATTTCTTGAACATGATCGAATATGAACTACAGGCATCTCAAAGCACTATGAAAAGTTAATCAGTCGATTGTGGTATCAACGTCGAGTATCATTCATATCCACTACGCTCTGAGTCTGCATCATTCAGTTTGGACCTCACTTGATCTCATTTTCTTATTGTCAGGATTGAAGAGCATTTACATGGAAGGCTAAAGATGGATACCTGCATTCCTTTTCTACTTCCCTAAGCCAACTTGCTTATAGTTTATTTGCAAAAACTGCAAATATAAATTGCAAAAAAACAGTAGATTGCAGTTCTCCTTTCCAATATATTGTCACAAGTTTAAGTGTTTAACACTGCCTCTGATTCAAACTTTGTGTTTTTATGGCAAAAACAGCATTGTTCACCAGTACACAAGTAAATTTCTGGCTTTGTCTGTGCTGTAGTCATACTGATGCCTGTAAGCTACCTTGCTACTGAGTGGTCCTTGCTAACAATTGAAGCTTCACCTTAGCGGGACTTAGTTTAATAAGTTGCTTCAGCATCTGTAGATTAAGCTGAATTACATCCAATAAATTGGAATATTATGGTATTGTTGCTGTTCTATAGTGTATGAATTACTTGGGAACATATGTTGTTGTACCATGGCAAACTTACTATTTTCTGTAAGGACGAAGCTACCCTTCCAATCAATCTCATTTACTGCTGTGAAATAAATATAATGACTGTGATTGTTAAGATGTGTCCCTGCAATTAAATTATACTTTTCACATGCTTGCTTTTTCTGTGCCGCAGTGCTAACTACATTCTGTTTGCATTTTTCTGCCCGCAAATCGATTGAAGACTGGGTTTTGGATGGGAGTTGATAGCAGTTTTGGCAACAATCATAAGAATATATGACATATCCTCTTAAATATTGTAGAAATACTGAAACTACATTCTGAAATTTAGTACAACCAGAGAGCAAATAAATGTGCGGGTCTTTTGAGGGTGCATGGCACAATGGATCAGTTTGGAACTGCTGGCTAAGAATTATGATGAGGCATACATTCACACATTAAAAGAGGAATGAAATCAGGAAAAAGGAAATAAACTATGTTGCACTTTTTCCATATGCAGTCAGTAACAGCAAAATTAGCCAATTTTGTTCGTTGTTTCTACATTACACTTTACTGGAGAAGCAGTGCGCTAAGGATATCTGCAAGATGACAGGAATATGTCTGGTCTAAATGCATATCGCTACACAACATTATCATGCTATGTAGTCTGCTACTCAGCTTCACTATCTCTTCTGACATTTTTGGAGATTTCAAGACATCATTATTCAAATAATAGAAGCATTAATTTAGGTCTATATCATGTTTCCCACTGATCCACTAATAACAATCTGCCAATGGCAGATTGCCACATCAGCTTTTTTTTTTTTTTTTTGCAGGACAGATTATCAATGTGGCCGATGCTCCAGTATTCTACCATTACCTCTGACATGGTTTTTTCTCAATAAGAAACTGATGCCAGTTCAGCTAACTGTTGACAAAAACCGGCTTCATCGGAATCCTCTTCAAGACTCAGGTCAGTCAACAATTACTACTACTAAGGCTGTACTGCCACATAAACGATCATGTTGCACAAAACCTACCCTAAAGAAAAGGCCATAACTAAATTGCTCTACAAGCTCAATTGTTAAGATGTAAGGTATTTTCATGGCAATAACTTTACTCAGGGTCTTTGTTGAGAGACCGGCAAAAAAAACCCAAGTCAAAAGCATTGAACTGATTCATGATATAAGCTTGAGAGACAAACTGAAGAATCCATGCCACTACTGTCATAGTTGGTGCATATTAGAACTACTTCCTCTTCTATATACAATGGCACTGAACAGAAACAATCACAACAGTCGTTGACTGTTGAATTGCTCAAAACTGGTCGTGGTTGTATCTGAGTAGGATCCTATAAATGACTGGGATGTACAACAAACTGAAAGGGATCAAAAGATGTGAAATACCCTTCACAGAAGAAAGCTCTTCAACTATGAGATCACAACAAAAAATGAAACTTGTGTCATCATCCCTTGCATGACAACAGAGCATTACCTTCGGAGTTGTGACTTTAAATGGAGTTGGTTTCTGGACTTGGCCATCAGACGAGACCTCAGCTGCATGGAATTTCGTATAATATGAGATGGAAATATAGATTAAGTGTAAAATAATTAATTTCGCTACAAATCAAATAAGCTAAACATTATTAGACGCTCAACTCAGCCAACACATTAACATAAGTCAAATTCAAGTTGTTGAATTAAAAGCACCAACTGTCGCATTTAGTCAAATGGATGCAACATCAATTTAACCTCCTGGGGGTGTCAAAGCTTGAGAGTGGCCTCAAGCCTCACCTTCTGAGGCAATGGATTTGCTAGAAGAGGAAAAATGCAACTTTTCCATCTAGTTGGATTCCTTAGTGCTAGTTGTTTTTTTTTTTTAACAGAAAATGGGTTGATCATCCCAATTTATTACATAAGAAAATAATAAAAAACAAAGAAAAAAAAAACCCAGCTCAGCTCCCTAGAGGAAACAGCTCAACAGTTGATGAACAGAACATCCCTCACCCTCCAACCTTTGAGCCAACTGTTAGGATCCTTTTTCTAAGCTTTTGAATAATGTTTATCGAGTCTATTTAATTCAGTTGTTTATTGAGTCGGTTTGGTTCAGTTAGAGTCAAGTAGAGATTTATTTAATATTTATTTATTATTAGAGTTTAAGTCCTGATAGACTCTGGGTGGAACTTTACAAAATAGTGATGTAACCCTTTCTTTAAGGAATCAATCAATCAATGACATGTTATTCCACTCTGTAGACAAACCCTAGGAGACCGATCCCCTCGAAGTGATCAAGGAGGACCGATCCACTCGAAGTGATGAAGGAGGGCCGATCCCCTCGAAGCGATCAAGGAGGTCGATCCCCTCGAAGCGATCAAGGAGGTCGATCCCCTCGAAGCGATCATTATCATCCTTATTTCTCCCCTTTCTTCCACGATAAGATTTTAGGGTCTTATCAATTGGTATCAGAGCGACGATAAGAATTTAGAGTCTTATCATTTGGTATCAGAGCGACGATAAGACTTTAGGATCTTATCATTTGGTATCAGAGCGACGATAAGACTTTAAGGTCTTTTCATTTGGTA